GTTTTAAGTGAAGTATTCCTTTGTTTAAATCTGAAGGCTATGATTTTTTTTGTTTCCAAAGACAAACGTTAAATTTGAGTTAATTTATTTAATAATATCATCTATGATACATATTTGTGATAATCTTACAAATAATGCTTAATCTTTAAACAGCAAGATTCTTGAGTAAAGACAAGAGAAGGTAACAGGAGATGAAGATGATCAAAATATATCATATACATACATGAACATGTCATAAGGAAGCATTATTATACATTATAAATATATGGACTAATACATTAGTATTACTAATATATTATACCATAATATATTATCATATCAATATTAATATGTTAATATACTATATACTAATATTAGTATGTAAATATATTATAATATAGTAGTGGTAGTAATATATTAGTGTTACTAATTCTGATACTAGTAATAGCAATAATATTAGTATTTTTAAACAATACTTTCAAAAATATTAAAAGTGACTGACACTGGAAACCAATCAACCCTAAGGCTCAAAACTGCCCCCTTTTTTTTCCCCACACCACCATACTTCTTTCAAGAAATCACTTCTCTCCTGCCTTGGCCATTCGGATCGACGGGGCTGTACGATTGGCTCCCAAAACCAAGCACATGACCTGGTCCTGGCCATTAAAATTCACCTGGCCCCTGACTCAGAATGGCAAAGCGTCCTCACTATGGGGGAGGAGACATTGCGGGTGAGGGGTGTCTCAGAAGAAACTAAAGGAAACTGGACTGTTCCCACGGGGTCGCTGAGCTAACAGGGCACCGAATGGCCGTCTCCCCCATAGCCTGGGAAAAGCTGTTAGCAACAGGAAAGCTGCGGGGAGCAGTTTCCCCGGGTCTGACTGCCTTCCACCAATACATGACAATGGCTCTCCTTTGTTTGTATCTTTTGACCAAGTTTAAACTGGACTTTGGCCATAACCAACCAGAATATCCCAACACAGCCTACTGGTGCCAAGTAGCTCAGATAATTCGCTGAAATGAAAGAACGAAAGAAAAAAATATTTGATTTTTGCAAGCATGTGAATCAGCCGAATGAATTATAAATATTTTGTTCCCTGGTCCTGCACCATGATAATAGAGAGACTGGGGAGCAGGCTGGCAGAAGAGCTTACCCCCATAAGCAGGTCTGTCTCAGGGTGATTGACCCTCTAGATGCCTTCACGCAGGCTGTCGCATTTCTAAGGTTTACATTTTAATTCCTCAGGCCCATCCTAGGACCTACTTCTACCTACCTCTCTTCCTCAGCAGAGACAATCCCCAGTCCCAACTCCCACAGCCTTTCTTACTCTTTAGCCCAGAGGTCTACACACGACATGTCTCCTGCACGTCAAGCAAGGATCAGTTAGAAACTTCAGTATGAAAAGCCACACATGACCGCAATGAAAAACTAATAAAATCTAGGTTTAACTATTCCGGTGTCAACTGTTCATCATGGATGTTTCTAGTCATGAGAGCACAGTTTGGTTTTTTTCTCTTTAAAAAAAATAATATTTTTTCTGTGGTTCCCAATTTTCCTGATCTTGCTCTTTGCTCTGGCTTTGGTGGTACCGGAAATGGAGCGTCACACACGTTAATCTTCTTCATACAAACATTCTACCGTGGAGTTACATGAGCCCCAGACTCAACTGGCTCCGTACTTTTTTTTCTTTCTTTCTTTTTAAGGGCTCTCCCCAGGTGGCCCAAGCCGGCCTTGAACTTGCCATCCTTCTGCCTCAGCCTGTCAAACCGCTGGGATTATAGGCCTGAAACATCAATTCAGACCTGCTATTTCTTCTGGAGTGGAAACACATTTTTAAAGTGTTTCTCCTTTCAAGTTGACTGTTATTACTTGCTCCACTCAGCTGAAAGCACCGTCTGGAGCGGGTGGATGTGGTGTTGGCCACAGCCACCTGGTCCCCTTCTTTTCCCTGTCCTTCTGACCACCATCTGCATCTCCGGCTCAAGTCAGAAACTGTGGCATGGTCCTGCTGCTCCCTTCTCTTCCTTCTCTGTCACTTAACGCATGGACTGTCTCTAACGCACCCGACCACACAACCCTCCTCCTTCCCACGGCTCCCACTTGCTGGCTGACCTCCGTGGCTCCAACTTCACAACACCCCTCCACCTCCCTCTTCCCAGGCCACTCCCAAACCATCAGCACCATCTTACACCTCACCCGTCCTGGACCGGGGGCTCTAGGAGGGCCCAGAAGATGGCCAGGTCCTGTCACCCGCATCCTCTTCTCATGCTCTTCCCTTTGCACGTGTCAGCTTGCTTCCTCTTCCCTGCGTGAACTCTTGCTCACTCAGGAAGCCCAGCCCAGCACACCTTCTGCCTGTTTTCATGAAGAGCCCCTATCGCTATGCTTTGGTCACCAGCGGACCACAGTGGTCTGCTGAAGGACCTTTCGTTCTATGGTGGATGCTGAGTAGGAGAAGGAAAAGATGATAGGAAGAGGCCTCCCCTTGAGCTAGACTTCCACAACATTGACCCTTTATGCCTAGGAAACTGTCATGTGACCCCCAAGTATATTAGAATATGAAACAGGTATCCAAACATTTGCTGATGATAAATTTTAAAGAAATATATTTTTAAAGTTCATTTAATTGTCCCACATATTAAAGAAATTGGTTCACTAATGAAATGGGTATGCCCATCTATTTTCATCAAAAGAATCAAATCTTGAGTCAACAAGATGGTGCAGAGAGGAAAGGCACTTGCAGACAAACCTGATGGCCTGAGTTTAAACCCCTGGCTGATGCGCAATGAGAGAATCAGCTGCTACAAGCTGTCCTCTGACTGCCACATGTATGTTGTGACAGGCATGGACACATGCACACGTGCACACAAATGAACGTAATAAAAAAACTTTTTTAAAAATTTAACTACGTTTTGGCTGGATATCTCACACTGTAAGACATTCAGCACCCTCAACAGCGTTCAGTTTGTCCTATTTTATTTTATAATAATAAATGCCACTTAGATGGCCACTTCATTTAATACACAGAATACGAGATCACAAATGTATTTAGAGTCATTTCAGCAACCACTGGAGATTCAAGCACTATGCCAGGAATTTGAAGCAAGTGATTACTGCTTCTTTTGTGCCCAAAGTCTCACATGAAATGGCTATTTCATTCCTAGAAATCTTCATAATGCCACTCTAGTCTTCTCTGAATTCCTCTTCATAATTAAAAAAAGTCTGACTCTATTCTTAACATTGGATCGCTGACAGTTGTCAAGTCTCATACCTCCCCCTCCAGTCTGAAACCTGCACAAGCCACACGAAAGCCTGGACGCTTCCTCCCTGGGCCATCAGGAAGGTCAAATCCAGTTTCTGTGTAAGATCTCTGACCCGGACCATTCCCCAGCTACAGCACAAACTAAGCAGACCACTCTGTGTGCAACCCTGTTCTCCCCAGAAAGCCTCACCCAATAAATACCAAACTTTTGCATCCTCTTTTGACATTGTGTGGATCCATTATCTAACTAATCTGGGGCAGGAAGGTTAATCCTAATCTCCATAGGTTCAGTGTGAATATGAGGTGTCTGCCATAAATTCTTATGTTTGCACACTTGGTCCCTCACCGGTGATGCTGTTTGGGAAGGTTGTGGAACTTTCAGGAGGTGTAGCCTCACTGGAGGAAGTACTGTCTGGAGGTGGGCCCCACTTCCTGTTCTCTCTGCTTCCTGGCTGCTGAGGCAACTATGAGCTTCCTGTCCTCCTCGCCTGCCTTCCACCTGTGGCCACACCTTCCCTGCTGAGGCAGACCGGAAGTGTCCCTCTGGGACGGAGTCAAAGTCACCCTCTTCCCTTGAATTTTCGGGATATTTTATCACAGCAACAGAAACGGAACTAGGCCAGCACGGTAACCAGAAACCCTCCTCCTCCCCCCGAGACAGCACGGTAACC